TAATCGAGTAAATGTAAAAATAAATACCTCAAAAACGCTCACTTACGCCAGTCAGTTTCTTGGAAGAGGATGAATAGCAACTGCTGACTTAAAAGCCAATGGTTTAGCTCAAGTTCTGTAAATTGTCTTGCATTATTCCATGTAAAGTATAATGATCTCCAAAATTATTACATCTCTTGAGACTCTTCAGATGCCCGGAGGGATTCGAACTCTGTTGTCCAGGCTTAAGTATCACAAGGCTGATACATAAACAGTGGCCTGCCTACGTACAGTATATACCAACAGGGATCATTGACTCTCCTGGTATGAGCCCTCACCATTGGCCTGGCTTAAAATGCACGCTCATTTCAATACCATTTTTATAGCATTTTTCAGCTGATTGAAAATTTGCCTAAAGAAGAGAGATTATTGAAGAAGATATATTTCCAAGAGTCTTTTTTTAATAGTTTTGATTGTTTTAGACTCATGTTTTGGGGGTTTGGGGAACATTTTCAAATCCGACGACTGGAGGGCTTCAGAGACCCATTGCAGAATTGATCTATTGACATGCCAGCTAGGGTTAGGGTTAGCATTGCCACACTACTTAGAGATTTTGTACGCTCAGTGCTGGATTTTGGGTCCTAAGGGAATGTTAGGAAGAGTGGTTATTTTCTCCTATCTTCAACTTTTTTTCATAGACTTTTTGCTTCTTACATGTATATTGTCTATTGCACAATTCATTGGTTGGAGTCCAAAAGTCTCATGAAAAGTTACACCTGTCCTATTGGGTAAAATCTCTTAATTTTTTCATTTCATCTGCACCTAGATTTGTAACTGGAGTGAACATTTAATGGTTCTTGTAACCCAAACCATATCCTGGCCTGAAATGCACGCGCATTTCAATACCATTTTAATGGTATTTTGCAGCTAATTGAAAATCCACCTAAAGAAGAGACATTCTTGAAGAAGATATACTTCCAAGAGCCTTTTTCAATGGTTTTGATTGTTTTAGACTGATGTTTTTGGAGATTGGGGAACATTTTCAAATCCGATGACTGGATGGCTTCAGAGACCAATTGCAGAATTGCTCTGTTGACACGCCAGCTAGGGTTAGGGTTTCCAATCACAAACTACTTAGAGATTTTTATGCATTCGGGGTCCCAAGGGAACATTAGGAAGAGAGGTCATTTGCTCCTATCTTTATCTTTTTTGGGGGGATTTTTTGCTGCTTATATTGTCTGTTTCACAATTCAGTAGACTCCAAAATTGAGTCTGATGAAAAGTTACAAAAAAACCTGTTCTACTGGGTGAAACCTCTTAATTTTCCCATTTAACCTGTATCTAGATGTGGAGTCAACTTTTAATGGTGCTTTGTAACCAAAACCCTACACTGTTGCATCCAGCCTCAGAGGTGGCTTGTATGTGTTATGTCCGTTATTGATTTGGATGGAACAAGCCTGTTAAGATTTTGATATCCTGAAGTCGTGCTGAGCACATCCTGTCCTCCTGAAGTCGTGCTGAGCACATCCTGTCCTCCTGAAGTCGTGCTGAGCACATCCTGTCCTCCTGAAGTCGTGCTGAGCACATCCTGTCCTCCTGAAGTTGTGCTGAGCACATCCTGGGCTTTGAAGTCGTGCTGAACAGTGGCATGTGGAATGGCAGCTTGTTCATGCACTTCATCATCTATCTCAGCATCACTTGCCAAGCAGTCAGCAGAGTGACGTTTTTTGAGTTAGACCCGATCTTATCGACCAATTTAGATTTAGACATCAACCAATGTAGATTGTGAACTGGAAAGCAATGGGGACCGTGTTGTTCACAAAAGTGCAGCGGAGCACAATTTTGCTATTCTGCAGGGATGAGGGGGGCCGGGTAGCTTGTGGCTCATCAGTGTAGAGCACAATCCAAGATGTTTGCAGACAATTCCCCTTTGGACTCAGTATTTGATATGTTAATTGTCAGTGTCTGTGTCAGTTTTTGTTTTGGCTAACCCCCCCACGTGCATCGACCAAGATTTCACTGTTTCTCTTTAATGCATCAAGGGAGAGTTAAATCATTATACATATGCAAATTTACCCTGCTTAAACAAAACACATCAAACATGGGGTGGGGGGGGGTGTGCAACCATGCCTTTTAATCAGCTATTACTGGAATTAAGCTTTGTAATTAAGTCAATCAGAAGAATCCAGTAATGTTGGCTGTATAAACGACGATTTGAGAATCGTCTTTACACAGGCATATTGCCAGCTGTGTGGGGAGAAGGGATTTGCGTTATTTACAAATGCTGGAGGTGCCACTTTATTGCACTTGAAATACTGTATAACTTGCAAGAGATTATTATGAAGCTACTGTACCAGCGATGCGAAATACCTGTAACTAACAGGAATAGTGAGCAGGACTTGTAAAATGTATATACTATAAAAATAAGTGCTGCTTATTTTACTTGCTTTAAATTGGCGTCACCGCTAAATGCTGCGTTAGATGCTGTGTTAATCTGTATTTACCAAATTCTGGCAAAGAGGAAATCAGAGCCCTGGTACTTTGGATTAAAAAGTGTGTGTGAGAGAGAGATAAAGAAATACCAGATACACGTTTTAATTCAAAGACCTCTTTTAGATGAAAAATAGATTTGGCAAATTGCTGCAATACGTGTTCATTGAACTGGAGCACCAGTTCTTCCCAAGAAGGGCTCAACTCGGCAGAGGCGCAGAACTATTCCTGCGAGTGCAGACTCGTATCAAAGCCCTGTTTAGTTTGGACCAAAGCTGTATGTTTGAAATTCTTTTCTAAAAAAAAAAGAAGAAGAAAAGAAAAAGCAGAAAATGAGACCAAACCGCAGCAGAGAACACATCTCGTCTGAAAGCCCAAGAGCCAGGTACTGCTGCCAGAAGTCCCTGCTTTTCGGGGATATCTAATATAATCAGGATCCCAGTAATACTGCCTTCCTGCCTGAGTGCTCCATCAAGGCTAGAGGTCCTGTTTTCATGATGGATAGTTAATACCAGCCTTATCCCAGTAATATTGCCTTATCGGCAGGAAGGGGGCTGCAGCCAGTGTAGGCCTGATATCTCTGATTACAAGTGGCCACTACACTGCTCCATTAGTGCCAGAGGTCTGGGTTTTGTGGGTGATTGCAAACACAAGAATAATGCCAGAGATATTGCCTCGACATTACATCACTGTATCTCTGTCCCCAGGCATGACTTCTATATGGGCTGGCTGATTCTAGCTGAAAAAAAAAACCCATTTCGTACTCTTATTTTTCCTATATTGCCCACCCCTCCCTTGATAATTCCATGCCTTCCCTCTTACGGGAAGACAGAGGCGCCTTTCTTGGCAATAACTCCCCATCAACTAGTAAAAATGCCGCTTTTACGAAAACCACTGCAGTGTGCGAGAGAGCTCACATTAATCACAAACACGGGAGTCGTCGTAGATCCTGTACGAATGTGTGGAAGTAATGAACACGTTTTAAAAGGGCTGGCATTTTCCTTCCCCTTAACCATCTGTGTGAGGGCTGTGTGATCTGTCCCTCTCTCAGGACTCGGACTGAATGAGGATCTGGGCAATGCACGTGCACAGAAACAACAGCTGAATACGGATTCAGGGGGGGAGCATGCGAGGTGGTAAGAAATCACATGCTCATGCCAGGCACTTATGGTCAAGTGACACGGGAGCTGGGTCAGCCATGTCATCTTCAGGCCAAACGCAGCCATGCATTTGAGGAACACCTGAGCTGGGTCCTGACGAAGCACGGAGGCCCTTTGTGTGCCAGTGCTGCTGCTCTCTTCTTGACTCTCGCGTTGGAGGAAAACAGCCCTCTTCCCCGCCTCACCCCACACTCCCACCTCCCTCAGTCTCGGGATCTGCGCACGGATGATTGATGTGGTCCGGGTGTGTGCGTGCGTGCGTGCGTGTGTGTGTGTGTTTGCGTGCGCATTGCTACGGCGCTACCTGACTACTGGGAATGTGGCTGGGCAGCAAGCCATCCGTTCTGATGCCACAGGCCGCCTGCCAATAAAAGCTTGGTGAGGCTCTTATTTCATAACGTAGCCATGCGGCACACTCCATTCTGCAGAATTAAATCAGCTGCTCGCAGAGACAGTCTAGTGAATTATGTATGGGCTCCCGTCGCCTAGCTGTAACATAATAAAGTTAGGTCTGCGACTAATTTGCAGTTTGATGAGGTGGGCTTCTAGCAAAGAATCGTGGATGAACATTAAGTATATATTGATTTTACAAATTCTATTATGTATTTGAATGCATATACACATATGTGTTAGGGTATGTGTTGCATACACATTTATTCTCCATGCACACACAATGCAATGAATTGAAATTTACATTTTTTGGGGGGGCGGAACCTGGAATGTACTGTATAGTGCCTTGCAAAAAAAAAACCTGCTCTCTGAAGGTTTGCAAGTTTCCAGAAAGTTTCTCTGAAACTCATTAAAAATTACTGGGCAATGTAAGCAAGACAGGGCCTGGTCCAGTACAGGGATGGGAGACTTCTAGGGAAAATCAAAATGAATTTTCTAGGGGAAATCGCTGCTGGAAGGGGCTCTTGTAGACCAGTAGGTGGCACTCTTCTGTCTGTACCAGAATTTCCAAACCCATGCCTGTGTATGTTGATTGGGGACACTGTTCTGAAGGAGGTACTATTCTTTAGGTCAGATGTTAAACCAAACTCCTGGCTACTCATTAAAGATCCCGTGATGCTGTTCCTAAGAGTAGGGGTGTTAACCCTGGTGTCCTGGATCAGTTCCACTCTGGGCAGGTACAATCTTTCCTCCCCAAAGTTCCTCCTTAATTCAGCTGGTGAGGCAGTTTCTCTCTCCTGCCTCTGATCTGCGTTGCAGTGGGGCTGCTGGTGCCGAATGGCTGAGCGCCTCACTCAGGTGGGAGCTGAACTTCAGTGGAGGATAAAGTGGATCTGTTCCTGGAAAGCAAGATGCTTTGGGATTGAGGAAGAATTTTAGCATTTGCCCTTTTTATTAAGTATATAAAATAGTGACTATTTTTATTAGCTCATATGCCTTTTGCTTAGCAACAGTATAAAAGGATAATTCAAGCATATTATTTGACCTTTTGACATTGTTATTACAAACCGCAGAATGTCTATCTCATTTCACACCTTTTATTTTTATACTTCCTTTTGTCTGTATACAAGGTAGAACTGCTTCTTAAGAAGAACGTGGTCAGTTACAAAGAAATGTTTGTAGAGAGAAAAACAACCCCTAATATGGAAACTTAGAGTGAGCTTTCCTGTGTGAGTCTGCTGTATAAAACTCATTGCATTTATCATCTCAGAGAGTTGGATTTTGTAGATCTGTATGAGAGATTGCTCTCAGATCTGCATGATCTATCCTCCTCATGCACATGAATAAAGGACTCGGCTTGACCACACCTAACCTGAGTGAAGACTTTTCTTCGACAGGATCCACTGGGATGAGACCGGTTATAAAAACGCGTGGAATAATTAAATGAATAAAGTCCTCTTGGCTGAAACGGGTAATGATGATGGCATTCCAGTGCTTTTCAGTGAAGTCCCAGTGCTGTGCGAGAGCATGCAGGCAACACAAGAAAGTGGGAAGAAATAAATGTAAGCTTGCAGCCTGGCGTAGGGGCGGCGACTCAGGCCTGGGGCTGTGGACGATAATACAGACCTTCACAAGTCAAGCCTATCAGTTCTGATTGATTTGTTAATGGGAGGTTTTCCAAAAACAGCTACCCACTCCTGCAATCCAGACCTTGTGCCCAGAACCATGTATGTATGGAGGTGTGGTGGCTACCTCATTAGACAAACGGCATGTACTGTAGCACACGCCTCCTCTTAATCCTCATTCGCTTCACACTCGCTCCAGACTCGCGTGATTCCCTGATTAGCTCGCAACCTTGCGCCTCTGCAGAAATATTGACTTGCAATTCCCTTTTGTTTTCCAGCTCAAGGACTTTTCCGAGGCTCAGTGGAAACGAAATCCTGTTCTACGGCAACCGTCTCCGTCTGAATTCATTTGTTACCTCTGCAGCCAGTCACATCTTTTATAATTACTGTCGCCAAGGCTGTTGGTGTCTTTTTCTATTCAGTGGAAGTGGATTTGAAGCAGCCAGATCTGCTGTGATCCTCAGAGGGCGAGTCTGGAGCGTTCATCCTGCCTTGAAATGAATGAAAAGTAATACATAATTAAATATCATATTTATATAAATACACAGATTTGGTCATTACTATTTAATGCTGGGAAATGCTACAGAAATCCCAGCATTTCCAACCTCCCAGAGATTCAAAAGAAGCCTTTTTTGAATCAATAAACATGAGACTTTAGACTCCGTCTGAGTTAAATGATCTAACTATAGCCTCCATTTAATTAATCAAATTAGGGCATGCGAGTAAGAAGACGCCATAAAGGATAACGTCTCTTTCAGCGTCTATCTCGGTGCATTCATTTTAGCTTAACTTCCCAGTTAAACAAATAGAGCGTTTTTTTTTTATTTTAGCATTTTTGTGTACATTCCGCCTACCTTAAATTGTAGGCTGTTTTCATCATACCTTAACACATGTTCTAAAATATACAATCGCAGTAAATCAGCTTTCCAGGTTTACACTGTAAAGGACACAACAGTGTACTGTGTACAGCATGGAAAACCTCCCCGATAATAAGCACCCGGCTTACACAGTCGTGTTAGAAATAAAATGTCATAAACAGCAGCACTGCAAAATCCAGGTATTGGCATTTTGACCAAATACAAACAAGCGTTTCCCTTTGTATATCTGTTTTCCCCTCCTCCCTTTTTTAACTACAATGAAAGAACCATTTTCTTGCTAGTGTGAAGGGTGCCATCCATCAAGAGCTATTGCCTGTTCCCGTGATAACTCCTAATTCAGTTGTTTCTGCAGTTATCTTCATGATTGAGGCTCTCCTCAAGACTAATAGGAGCTATATTAAGCAGTGGCTGCTCTAACACACACAGGTGTCAGGTACAATCTCAGAGGCCACCTCTGAAATATCCTCTGAATTTCCTCCAATATAAAGCTACTCAGACACCAGCCTCAAGCATAACTACAGCAAGCCCCATTTATTTATTATTGTATTTTCTCTTTTGTTTGTACCCCCAATTTCCTTCTAAATTCAGAATGCCAGTGTGTCCTGATATTGTAGCACGAAGAATTGACATGTTGTTGATCTGGCGAAGTCGTGGCGCACGGTTATTTTTTCCCGATGAACCTGAGCTGCTGTGGAATGACTGCGCTTTTGAAAGTGTTGATTCCTCAGTCTTCTTTAACGACTTAAAACCTTGCAGCTCAAACCACACCAGGGATGCACCCTGTCACATTACTGCACGATGCTGGGATGATACTGTCAGTAATAAAAGTCCACGTGTTTTAAACGCGCAGGTGAACCCGATTCATTGTACTCTGATTGTACATTGTACCTGAACGCGTTTGAGCCGAGAGGCTCGGGCTGGAGTCTGTCCTGTTTCTGAACGTTACGTGGACTGACATGACGCTGGTCAGTTCTAAGGGCTTCCCTCAGTGTTCTGCTCCACTCCATGTTTCAGCAAACTGCAGCGATCCCAAGCAGATGGACAAGACGTTTCTTTTTAAATTAAATCAGTAAAGATCTCCGTCTCACACAATATACTGAACGATATTTTGTCACATCAACACTGAAGTCCAGTAGCTGTAGATTAGGGCTTTACTCTTTTAAAAGTCATTAATTTAAGGTGGGTACAGTTACAAGCCTTGCTGCCTCACAGTCCCTGGGCCCTGGGTTCAAGTCTAGCCCGGGGTGCCTTCTGTGTGGAGTCTGCATGTTCTGCTCACGGCTGCAGGGGCGTTCCGGTTTCCTCTTGGAGGACATGGGGGCTAGGTTAATTGGCATCATTCATTTTTTCAGCGCATGTTGGAGTGTGTGTACTGTATGCCCATGTCTTGCAGTAGACTTACTACCCACTGTCTGCCAGGTGAGGCTCCAGCTGAACCAAGATAGCGGATTAAATCATTACTGAAAATGGGTATACGAAGGAGTGTAGTATATAATCTACGACAGCGTACAGTACAGGAAGTCTAACATTTACAGTGTGCTCCGTGCTTACTCTGTGCATTTATTTGATCACGGTTGAACTCCACATCCTACCCTCTTGTGCTATCCCTGCATTTTAACAGGCCTTTAGCACGATGTATCCCACTTACAAGACCACAGCCCGACTCCCTTGGCGTTAGGCAGGGTGATTTTTTCCGAAGGCAGCCTTGCGCACAAGATCCTGCAGGCGTGAGATGAGGAGGCCTGCGTGTGTGTATGTGTGCACGTGTGACAGAGCAAGCGTCCTCCAGCACAAGCGAGCCTGCAGCCCTTCCCTCCCGCAGGAGCTGTGTGGCTAGTGCTCGCTCTCCATTAGTCTGGCAGAGTCACCTGGGGAGGCAGCCTCTCAACAGCACTGTAAAACAAACAAGTCTGCTGCTGCCCCGTACATCTCTCTAGGCACCGGAAACCAGCGCTTTATAAGCCGGTCGATTCTCTTACACTTAATGTTAATGGAGTAAAAGCATATAGCATATGGGCTTGTGCGAACTTCAATACAGCCGAGCCTGGGTAACAGTGACAGCAGAGGTCACTTGCATACAGGAGCAAAATGACTTTCCCTGCCGAAACGCGCGCCGGACTATGAAAACGTCCAGTGCAAAGGCTCATAACTGCACCCTGCGGGGTTAATCAGCTCCTATTTAAATGCATAAACATCTATGTATTTATTTACATTGCCGCCAGCTGGCAAATCTTTTCATATGTTCTTTTTGCTTCGCCATTCCTTAATCTCCGCGGTCTTTAAAGTGCTGGATGAATTTCCACATTGTTCGTGCCGGGGGTGGATATAGAGACAGGAATGCTAGAGACTGTCCAAGATTTTACCACACAGCTAGCTCTCCCTTTTTTTTTCTCTCTTTTCTTTGGAAAGCTTTAAGCTTCTCAGCCTTCGCCGTTCTGCCTGGTTTCTCTTCTTTGTGCCAAAGCTCAGAGAATCGGAGACAGAGGAGGCTCTGGAGTTGCACTCTCGTCTTTCTGTGCAGTTGCTCAAAGAGCTATTTCTGGACAGCAAACAGTAAAGGCTGCTATCATCTCAGAGTTGGTGGCAAAATCCTGTCTCCCCTCCCCTGTCCTTGGCACTGCAAAGCGATCCGAAATTCTGCCACTGTTTATTAGCCTTTATGATGGGTCTAGTATGCCAGACCACTGAGCCTGCAAAATAATGATCTCTTTCATAAAAGGCACCAGCACGGAGGACACCCAGCTCATTGTGAAAAAGTAGCGGGCAGCTCGTGCAAGGCTCTAGGTGCGCGTGCTGCTGCTGATCCACCGTGATGGAGGAGGAAAGGATTTAAAGAAAACAGAAAAGCTGAGAGGCAAAAGAGTGGGGAGACAAGTGGCAAACATGAGGTTATCGCCCTAACCAGTGGGTTCCTGGCATGGATTCCTCTGAATAATAATCTTTAAAAAACAGCTTGCATTATAGCTGTCAACTGTGTGCGTGGCCCTCAGCTGAAGCATGGCAGAAGGAAACGCTGGATCGTCCGATTTGATCGGGGTGATGAAACCCAGAGTACTGTACATACCTGGTTTGAGCACATGTGTGCCCTGAAGCATTTCCTTTGACAGTTTTAGGCAGTAGTAGATATCCTTTTCCAATCTTCCCACAGGAATCCGCACAAGTACAGTACAAATCTGGAACAAAAACCACACGTACTGGGAGGTGGACGCTGATCAAAACCAACCACATCTTTTGTGTTTCCGTAAGCAAAGCAGAGCAGAGAGAATACCCAACACACAGACACAGAGGAGAGAACGGGAGCACAGTGCATTATAGGAAAGAAAAAACACCAACTCCAGCCCTTCAAGATAAAACACAAAGGGCAACACATCTTCGGTCTCTTGCTCTCCAAACCGGTCCAAAGCGGCGTTTTGGAGAGCAAGGGGAAAAAAACACATTTCAGCGTCAGATAGAAGCAAGCCTCGCTTCACCCTTGACCCGGTGTATCTTATCCTAACCACTTGGCAGTCCGTGGCATTGCGCGCACACACGTACACTCCGACGAAGTCGTCTCCCCCGCCGAAACGCTGTGTCTCTTTTCTTTTCAGCCTGGAATAAACCTCACCTGTTCGTTCAGTGTGATGAGCTGCCCGGCCGGCCGGCCTCTAGCTCATTGCCGTCGGCTTCCCCTGTCCCACACTTCCCACGTTCACTCTCCTCCGGGCTCTGAGCTCGGGGTGCCGAGGGGCCGTGGCGCTCCTATCTGGCGGAGAAGAAAGGGCGACCTTCCTCTCAGAGGGTGAACTCGCCCGGATAGGGAGCTCCACCGGCTCCCCAAGGACACCTTGACGAATGCCAAGGCCGACAGACCTGTGGCTTAGACACACGGGTGCCTTCTGCTGTCTTTAGACCAGTTCGACCTCGACCTGTCCCGGAAACAGACCCACAGCAGCCAGGACCTCGGCTCTCGTCACCCACGGGCGTGCACGGACACGCGCGAATCTTGCCGGCTATTCCTTATGCACGGAGAGGGGGGGTCGTGTGCGGTACCGAATGGACAACTGCGGATTAATCTGTTCATCTCACTGTCTTGGTGAGTTTAAAAGTTCGGTGCGATTATTGAATTGAATGGAACAATATTATCTCTCTGCGGAAAATCACCAATTAATCTGTCATGTTCCGAGGGAGGTATACACCGTTGTTTATGTATAATTTGTTATTGTTTGCTGATGTACTGTATTAAATGTTTAAAAGCTTTTATTTCCTGCCGCTGTGTTTATGAGGCTGTATTGCATGGCGGTATTTTTAAGTGTAAAAGAAAACTTTATGTAGGATACACTGATTTTACGTTTTAACCTCAAATCAATTTAGACGAGGTTCAATATTAAAAAGCTAGCATTTTATTGAGTTCTTGCACCGCCAATGATTTCTTATACATACTGATTTTATCTGCTGCTAAAAACGTCTGTGCAATCTACTACAATTACCAAAGAGGTAATATAAACTATTTTTAATTTCCAGTGTCCATTTAGTCCTTGTTAATGTAAATAAGAATTATTACATTCTGTCGGATTGGTAGCGCCGGTGCCGATCAAGGAGGTAAAAACGCTGATGTAGAAGACGTGGACAAAATGACAAAACCGATCCCGTTCGCAAACCGGGGATCGGCGACACAGCAAACAAGACACGGGACTGTACAGTAGTTCGGGATTCTGGGCGCCCTGTAGGAAATTCCTAAAAAAAACAAAAACAGCGAGATTAACGCTGCGGCACCAACGAGTGTACTGACGGTTGTAGGGAGCTGTTTCTGTCGCTCCTGGGGGGGGATAAAAATCACCTTGTGCAATACACAAGATCATTTGCATGACTCATAAAGTAGAAAGAGACTTTCAAATCGCTGTCAGGAGTCAATTTATACATGATTGCCACACAGCAGAGTGTCCTAAATCATTTTCAATTAGGTGACACTTCCAATACCGAGCTGCTGATTTAGAGATATTAAAACTTCTCCCTCATCGCAGTGGCGTTTAAACTGAACTCTCTGAGCAGCACAGACTCCCACCCCCTGCCTGGTGTCTGGTTTGTATCGCATTTCTTCAAGGACTGTTTCAGGGTGCCCCTTCAGTGGAACAAAAAGTACAGGTCATTTTAAAATTCTTGTCTTGATGAAGAAAATCTGGTCTAAATTCGGGAATAAAAAAACATCGAAACGTCACCTTAGGACAGATCCTACTTGATCTTTTAAATATCCTTCGTGGTAAAGCAGCACAAGGTTTAGGATGATTATTTTAATCCGTTTTAGGGGTCTGATCTCTCTACCCCAGTGTAAGTAACCAGTAGTGGTATTCAGGTGAACTGAGCAGTGGATAGAGCTCTGGACTCATACCTGGAAGGCTATGGTTTCCCTCCAGAACAGACCTGAAATGGATATGCTCCTTCACTTAGGCCACTTCAGCAAACTATGCAGCTGTTTAAACAGGTACAAATATATACGTCGCTTGGGATAAAAGGGCCAGCCAAATAACTTGCAAATAGAAATTACAGTAGCAGTGTGTATACTGTATATCAAAGCAGCGTTTTATTCAATTAAAGCCAAGCTCTCCCCAGAACTGAAAAACAATTCCTCCGGCATCTCCAGTGCTGTCCTGACGTATGATGGTGCCGATGGGAAGAGTCAGAGCGGATTCATTGCAGCCCGTTCCAGGCCTGAGGTGACCGAACGTTGGGATGAAAAGCTCGCCTTCGGAAAGTCTCAGCACATCACCTGCATGCCAACAGAAACACCCTCTATAAACATGCAGTGAGCAAGGACATATCTGAGGAGCACACTCCAGCAATTACTCCTAGTTAGTAGTCATTATGTGTAGCTGCTTGTCTATTCCTCAGTGCAAAGGCTGCTGTAACAATGATAGGCCTTTTAATGAACCTTCAAAGCACATCCAATCCCTCCAGCATGTCAAATTGCAAACAGGGAGAAGCAATATTACCTGTGCAAAATCATTTCTATCGCTTTTTACATTTGTGCATAGAAGACTAGATTTTGAAGAGCATGCCCTATTGAAATCGGTGGTTTTATATTTTAAACTTGCATGTTTAAAATCAGCAGTGTGATTGACTGAATCCTCCTTCCTAAATTAGCCCCCCCCCCATCTAGATAATTCTGAAGCTGTAATGTGATTTTAACAAGCCAGAGATGAAATTGTTTTTCTTCCTCTTGCTGTCTGGTTCTCCTGCCCGGTCAATGGGCGCAGCGTTGGCCAGACTGGGTGACCTAGAGTCCCCAGCACAAGACAACTCTGTTGACATGATATAGCGAAGGGAAAATCAATTGAAGGTAATTCACTCCTCCTGTCTATTACTCCTCTCAGCCCCCTTCTCTTTCCTCTTGACAGTCAGGGATGATTGCAATAACGTGGTGCCGCTGAACAATGGTAATATTGTAAACGTAATGGAACTGCGCTACAAATAAGTATCAGACACATAAATCAGGCCGCTGACATTGATGTGGTTTTTTCAATGGCAATAAGAAATGCAATACATCTCCCACCGAATCAAAGTTCTCATTAGCTAGCTACCAATGTTCCAACCTAAACACGACTGGGAATTATCCTATGTTTACACAAGGACATGTTCTTTTTTATGCTAAAAATAAAAGCTGGCACAAAAATGCTATTTTTTATGAGCTCTCAATCAGGCTTCAGAGAAGGTGTAAATTCTTCCACTAAGTGCCTTATATACAATAAAACACAGAATTGACCTCAGAAAGATAAAGAGCTTATTAGTTATTCATAAAGCTTTGAAAATACTTTTTTTTTAAATATAGTGAACTACTCTGCAACTTCATAAAAATAATGTAAAACAATATGGCACCATTCATAATCCTTTAGAAAATCGTAAAAGGGCGAAAAAGACTCACGATGGTTGTTATAGTGCTTGTTGTGACATGTGAGGCAAACATGTCACATGGCCCAGCGTGACTTGTCCAAAGTGGTCTAATGTTCTTGAAATCTTTCTGCCAGGTCTTTTTTGCAAAGCGACACAACACATTTTTATCCACGCAAGATGTGTCATAACAGTTTCATGACAGATCTGACGAGGCAGATATCTCGCTGGGACGTTGTTGCTGACCTATGACAATCAAAAATGCGAAACCTGACCAGAATCGTAGTGGATCTGTAGAGTCGTGATGCCATGCCTGACTGGGAACACAGCAGGTCAAAGCCAGAACACAGTTGCTCTGGCTTGCTTTAACATTTATTTGTTCTTTGCATTAGTTTAATCTAATATACAGTAGATGCGAGACATAGAAAACCTGTTGAACTGTGGACCCTCGGGTCCAAAGTTGAGACCCTTGTGCTAAACGTGGAATCTGATGATGTAGCATGAGCATCACAAAGATTGATGGAAGCAAACATACCACAGCGTTGTCACTGCAGCCTTCCAATTCCTATACCATACAAGTCCTCTTCTTTGCCACATTTTCCAAGATGATCAGATGTTTTTATGTTGAATGTGGTTAACTAATTTCTCCTCTGCTTTTACCGAGGTATTCCTCAGCAAACATCTCTACAGGTCCAAATGCTGTTGCTTTGATCATTCTGGAGAATATGAAGCTTAATCATGAAATAGCAAAGAGCACACCTGGGTATTCTGCAGTGTGGAGCAGTGCAACATGAATGCTTCTTTGGCTGCAGGAAATAGTCTCATTTTGTTTGAAGCCTTTCACATGTTCTGAAAATAAAACCCAAGCATGTCATGCATCCTACAACACAATTTTCTTCTTTTCCTAAAAAGATGTATCTCTTTGCCATGCTCATTAACATTGTTAGGCTAATATTCAGCATGGGTCAGAAAACAGAACTTATTCTTTTAAAAACAGTGGTTTTCAGGTGGGAAAATGAATGAAACTGCATGGCAAGCTCTGATAACCCCCACTGCTGATCTGAATTCAAGTGGAACGGCAATAGGATTTCAGATGCACCATCTAGCTTTTAACATATATGAAAATCAATTTCTATTCAATTCTGCATCGATCATTGCAGGCAGGACTGAGCGTGCAGGTAATTCACAGATACCAAAGACAAGATGTGATCCTGTGGCAAGAAAAGGAAAAGATATCTTGCATTATGCACACAGAGAAAAGGCAGGTGAAGATTGGATTCTCCAGTCTTGTTCAGAAAGACTTAAGATGCACAATTCACCAGCGCAATTTCATAAGAGCTGCCATTGTAGCTCTGCCATGTGCAAACCGTCAGCTTTGTTTAAGGAGAAAGGAACTGATCAGACATGCTCTGCTGGCTTTAAATCTCCATTAATCATTGTTCTTTCATTCACACTTTTGAGTATGACACTGATGAGTCCTATCAAAAAAGGGAAAGATCACATCCTTGTTAAAAATAATAAGCCGCTACAGAATCATGTTGCATGCTGGCAGGACAGGAATAACTGATTAAATTAGGAATATTAAAGTCCCATTAATCAGCCCTTGGCTCCCCACTTCCCTTGTTCGTCTTGCACGGGCAATTATTTTTTTTGACACTGAAAAATATCCAGGCGCGCTGCAGTGGCGAGGTCATTCCGGAGGAGTGTGTCAGGCTGGGTGCACAAATTGGTGTGCCTCTCTGAGCCCTCCTGCCTTGCACGGAGTGCCACACATCCTACCGCACAGTGTTGTCTGGAATTGAGGACATGATGCGCCCGACTTCCATTCCTTCCTGCTCCTTTTCCTTGCATTGAGGAAATGACAGGATGCGTAAGTAGCCAGAGGAGTCCTCAAAAAGGCAAGTCAGGCAATATTGGCAGCGATCCTCAATATGTACCGGCGAACTAATATCCAGAGAGCTCCACATCTCTTTAGACCAGTTTCAGACGGATTTCCTTAAAGCAGCCCTCCTGTGTGATCATCAGCCCTTTAAAATAAGCTTATTTTTAGCTGAAATCCCACTATGCAGTCTTAGAGTAATGCTTAAATCATTCATTTTTTAAATAGGTTTGGAAGCACTAAAATGCAGGGAAATCATATTTAAGTGATAAGTAAAAAAAAAAGGGAACAAGAGAACAGTGCATTCTCTCACCAGGTCTTAAAGACAACCTTGAGAAATATACTATACAACACTCCTCTCTGATATAGCCTATACATCATACAGATGGCTCGAAAATGTGGTTCTAAATAATAAGCATGGCAAAATACGTAAA